CCCCAAAACCCCAAAACCCCAAATATAGCTGAGATGGGCAATATGTGACATCACAAAAATAGTCAATATCTCATCAAAGCCAATTTAATATAAGTTAATACTTAAAGTACATTACAATATGGAGTCAAGCAAGAAAATCAAGGTTACCAATCCAGTTGTCGAGATGGACGGAGATGAAATGACCAGAATCATCTGGAAATACATCAAGGATCAACTGATTCTTCCATTCCTCGATTTAGATATCAAGTACTTCGACTTAGGCATGGAGCACAGAGACAAGACTGATGATCAGGTGACTCTCGATGCAGCAAACGCTATCAAGAAGTACAAAGTGGGTATAAAGTGTGCCACAATCACTCCAGATGAAGCCAGAGTAAAGGAATTCAAACTTAAGCAAATGTGGAAGTCACCCAATGGTACAATTAGAAACGAATTGAATGGAACTGTATTCAGAGAGCCCATTGTGATCAAGAATATCCCAAGATTAGTACCAGGCTGGACTCATCCTATCGTTATCGGAAGACACGCTTTTGGCGATTAGTACAGAGCAACTGACTACGTTGTCAAGGAAGATGGAGTATTCAAGATGTCTTTCCACCCCAAGAGCGGTGCTAAGCCAGTTGAGTTCGAAGTGTTTAACTATAAAGGCACTGGAGGAGTCATGATGGGAATGTACAACACTGATGAGTCCATTATTGCTTTCGCTCATGCATGCTTCAGATACGCTTTGGATAGAAGCTAACCCTTGTACCTCAGCACTAAGAACACCATTCTCAAGAGATATGATGGCAGATTCAAGGACATTTTCGAGGAGATCTATGAGAAAAACTACAAGAAGGAATTTGAGGCAAAGAAGATCTGGTATGAGCACAGACTCATTGATGATATGGTCGCTTATGCCATTAAGAGCAATGGAGGATTCGTCTGGGCTACAAAGAACTACGATGGAGATGTCCAGTCTGATATTGTTGCTCAGGGATACGGCTCCCTTGGTCTTATGACTAGCGTTTTAATCTCACCTGATGGATGCGTTGAATCTGAAGCTGCTCATGGTACTGTCACTAGACATTACAGACAATACTAAAAGGGTCTAGAAACTTCAACAAATCCAATTGCTTCTATTTTTGCCTGGACAAGAGGACTCATGCAAAGAGCTAAATTAGACAACAATGGTCCTCTTTTGAACTTCTGCGAGACTTTAGAAAGGTCTGTGATCCTTGCTGTTGAAAGAGGATTCATGACCAAAGACTTAGCCCTCTGTGTAAGTGAAGGCAAAGAAGTAGCTAGATCTAAGTACTGCAGCACTGAAGAGTTTATGAACAAGTGTGCTGAGATTCTCAAGCAAGAACTTGCTGCTCCAAAGGCCAAGCTTTGAAGAGGAAGAGCATATTTATTAAACTCATGCAAAAATACACATAATTCATCTTAATCAATTCACCTTTTACTTTTGTCTGATTTAAGAGCATTACGGGGTTTTGGGGTTTTGGGGTTTTGGGGGTTTGGGGTTTTGGGGTTTTG